CCCTTCTCACCGGGCCAGTGGCAGGATTAACCCTAACGGGATCAAAAGGGAAAAAGTTAAAAAGATTATAGCTAGTGGGAATAGAATCAATGACCTTATAAAAGTTTTGAATCCTCTTAACTACTAAGTTATGCTTTTAAATTATGTCAAGATATATATATATATAGGTAAAAAAGAAATTATGTCTTCGGCGAAGGGGGTTCGAGTGAACACTCTTCTACCCTTAAATCTGCCCTGCACCGGGCCACCGCTCATTGGCAACAAAAAATAAATAGATTTCGAGCTTAGTCAATTGAAAAGAATCAGATCCGCACTCAAAAGTGTGCCCTTTCTTTGGTAATTTTAAACTTTTAAATGAAGTTATACTAAAATCTCTTCTTAAAGACATTCAAAATAGTCTAGGAGAAGGGCAGATGGGCCCGGAAGCGGAGGATGGGAATTGTGCCTTCACATCCTTAACCCCCCACCCCCCAATTTTTTTTTAATACGTAACAAAATGAAATACAGAAAGCCAGAGTACTGGTCAAAGCGGGGGAATCATTTAACGAATTTAAGTATGGGGGTATATGTCAATAAGTCAACTGCATGCATGCAACTTTGGAAAGCAATGGTAACATCTGTCCAGTTGGGCATAACATCAGTGGTAAAAAATTTACCGCGATTCAAAGTTATAGTAATTCAAACTCATATTACTATATAAAGATTGAATTGTAACTTTTGTCCAAAAATAGGAAGCTAGATTACTTGTTAAAGCCTGAGGTATTCCTCAATATAATTGGAACCTTTTGAAGTCTAACATGTCAATTGCATGCACGCATGTTTATAGTGGAAACGATTAAAGTATCTTATCTGTTTATCATAGGTTTAACAGGCAAATAGAAAACATAACTGGAAAGAAAAAGGTAATCAATGAGATCCGAGCTCGTAATAAAGTCTTGATTTTCATGGATAACCGATACTCTTTCCAGCTTTCTGTACTCCAGAAAATAGATTCAAACATATATATACTCCTATCCCAATTTAATATCTTTCTTTATATTCAGTAACAATTTAAGTTTGTTCCATGTAAAACGCGCATGCAGGATGATGGCTGGGTGATTTGCAGAGTTTTCAAGAAGAAACATTTATTCAAAGGTGGAAACGAAGGGGGTGGGGCAACCTCATCAGATCAAATGAACAGCACATCAAGCCACCAATCTCGCGTCTTCAACAGCCAATATCTACTACAACAGCAGGGCGGCCATGGCCTAAACTATTCCCATATCCCCTTAGCTTTGCCACAATATAATTCTCACCTCCAACTTCAACCTCAAAACTTCATTCCTAACAAGCCATTGGGCTATCATGACTTCTCAGCACTCCCTACTTCTGATCATCAGTCGCCCCTTATGGTGAAGCAATTAATGTCGAGCGCCGATAGCGGCTGCAGCGACCAGAACCTCCCTTACCAGCCGGAAGTTGGAAGTAGTTGTGAGCATCACCAGAATTTGAATGAATGGGGAATGATAGCCAGTTCCCACGGCCAGCTCGCACACGGACAGGAGGATGATGATTCAGCCAAAAATGCAGGGGTCAGGTTTGATGATGCAAATGCATCCTCCATGAGTCAAATCAATCAGCTTTCCCTGCGCGGGGAGATGGATTTCTGGGGTTACACTAAATAACAACGCCATACCCATTTATACTTTCCATCTGGATTCTCAAATGTAAAAGTAGACCTAGTTACTATACTATTATTTGCTCGCTCTACCCGCTATTTACATGATTAAAAAACGGGTAAGTGATAGTCCCAACATTATTTGCATTATAATATATTACAATCAATATTCTCGAATGTCCACAATTTACTCTACGTGCATTATCAATTTCAAAAATGATTGATATGGTCACGTATTTGTTCCTGTACTATTTGATTTTGGAGAAAGAAATTGAATTTTCTCCCCAATTCACGTTTTTACCGGATATATATAGGGTGTCCTATTTTAACTTACCATAGTTAATACCTAAACCCCCTTTAACAATCAACTTTTTGTGCGTTACCCTGTGAATATAGGTGACAAAATAGTTAAAAGTTATCGGGTTATGCTGGCATTAATTAGGAAGTGAGACCCTATGTTGAAAAAGTCATCGGGTTATGCCGACATCAACTAGGGAGTGAGACTCTATGTTGGAAAAGTCATCGGATTATGCCGACATCAACTAGGGAGTGAGATCCTATGTTGGAAAATTATCGGATTATGCCGGCATCAACTAGGGAGTGAGATCCTATGTTGGAAAATTATCGGATTATGCCGGCATCAACTAGGGAGTGAGACCCTATGTTGGAAAAGTCATTGGGTTATGTCGACATCAACTAGGGAGTGGGACCATATGTTGGAAAAGTCATCGGGTTATGTCAGCATCAACTAGGGAGTGGGACCCTATGTTGGAAAAGTCATCGGGTTATGTCAGCATCAACTAGGGAGTGGGACCCTATGTTGGAAAAGTCACCGGGTTATGCCGACATCAACGAGGGAGTGGGACCCTATGTTGGAAAAGATGCAGCTAGGGATTGGAGACCCTATACTACCATACAACAACAACAAACCCAGTTTGATCTCAGCAGGTAGGGTCTTGGGAGGATAGTATGTACGCAGACCTTACCCCTACCTAATACAAGTAGAGAGACTGTTTCCAATAGACCCTCGGCTCAGGAAGGGCAGACCCTATACTACCATGATTTTGAATTTTCTTCTTCTTTTTCTTTTTTTTCTTCATTTTCATCATCATTTTTTCCTCTCTTTTTTCTAATTTCATAGAATGAGTAAATGCGGGAAAGAATTTTGGAGGAGACTTCCCTTTTTGGAGTTTTTACTGCAAAGTTGTTTTTTAGCTCTTGCGCAATTTCTTTTTGGTAGCACTTGCTTCATGCAAGGTTGCTTGTGCATTGCACCTGTTTCCTATTTTTCAAACAAAAAACAATTTATCAATTTGAAACGGTGGTTGGTTTTGTAGCTTGGTTATTTCAACCACTTGATCTTGGTCGGCTCTTTTGATGATACTTTCAACTACAACTAGTTGTTTCTTGAAGACCGATTTCATTTTTGACCCCGGAGAAACTTTGGCTTTCCAAACTTTACCATGACTGTTGGTCAGTAGGACTCAACCTTTTCGACTTTATTTTGCTTCTGTAGGCCTTTCCCTCCTGACTTGCTTTTTTTCTTTTCTTATTTTTTTTTAGGAGCGTTGGGGAACTTTTGACTCCTCAAACTTTGTTGCAACGACTAGTCGCGTGGGACTTAACCTTTTTTAACTTTATTTCGCCTTCATAGGCCTTTCATTTCTGGCTTCTTTCTCCCAATTTCAATTTCAGAGCATTTTGAGTACCTTGGCTTTTTAAACCTTTGCCAAGACGGTTAGCCACGTGGGACTTAACCTTTTCAACTTCATTTGCCTTTATAGGCACTTCAATTTGATTTTCTCCTTCCAAGAGTTTTTATTTCAATGTATCGGCCGCCATGGCCAGTCGAGGTCGACTTGATGCCCCTGACGAGGCTGGGTGCCTTTTTGCACATTAACTCGTGTCAAATGAGAACCATGTAAATTAATCGTACCATCCTTTCTTTGTCTTAGTTTCGGAACAGAGTTAGACTAAAAAGGGATTCAAAGAAAACAAATAATGGAATGGAAAATGAGTTTAAAACAATAAGTGTCCCTTTCGGGGAAAGGAAAGAAGGACTTATCTAGAGTACATGCGGACTTCAATGAATATAACATGCCTTTTGGACTGGATGCATGACCCGTGTAAACCATCTGACTCTTAGAAATTCATCACAACTTTTGCTTCCAAACCGAAAAACCTTGCCAAGGACTGTGCCGATGCCAATGGCTGCGAGGATCTTTTTTTTCGAGAAGTGGCGCCCTTTGTGGCTATTCACCAGGTGACCTCTCTCATTTCTCTTCTCACTGTCGCCTTATAGTGCTCTTTGCGAGTTTTCACTAACAAGACTCTCTCATTTTCAATTTTTTGCTTACTGTCGTCTCACGGTGCCCATGTGGGTATTCACCAATAAGACTCACTCATTTTATTTCTCTCATTTTGATTGCATCGGATCCAAGTGTCACACCTCCTTTTTCGCCCTCGCGAGGGGTGAAGGAGTTTTTCCAATTAAAGGACAATCGAAACGGGATTTGTTTATTTGTTTCAGAGTCGCCACTTGGGAGATTTAGGGTGTCCCAAGTCACCAATTTAATCCCGAATCGAGGAAAAGAATGACTCTGTATTACAGTCCGCGAACCAGAAATCCGGATAAGGAATTTTGTTAACCTGGGAGAAGGTGTTAATTCCCGAGTTCCGTGGTTCTAGCACGGTCGTTCAACTGTCATATTCGGCTTGATTATCTGATTTTATACAAATATGAACTTATGTGCAGATTTTAACTCTTTACCGCTTTCATTATTATTATTATTATCTTACAGGGAATTGCAACGTTGTGAAAATGTGTCTCGAACCGCGTCACAATCAATGTACCCGTGGTCGTCGACATACTTTGACTCCGTTGAGATTTGGATTTGGGTCACATAAATGTGCACCCGAGTTTAAAAAGATAACATTATTAAATATGCGCCTAAAGCGATTAGCGTATTATTATTTTGGGTAAGGCCGTGGAGTTCGCTAAGCGGCCTATCCCGAGTTCTAAGTAATTAACACATACATTTTTTGTGAGGGCCCCGCAATCTGTGCGTTTTATTTGGCGAGGCTCGTCTCATTTTTATGTAAAAGGTCGTCCTATAGTGGCTATGTTTTCTATTTTGTTTGCATCTAAAATAAATGAAAAAGGTCCTACTTTATTTACATACCTATGAGTTATTATAGTTAAGTTTCAAATGTGATTTGTTGAAAGAGGGACGTGATACGAGCAGTCCATTTGGCAGTTATGGGCCCAGGCCCAGCGCACACTGTATGGACTGGTCCTGGGCCATTTCCTTTCCGATAAGGGCCTGTTAATTCATTTGACTCAGGCCCAACATTTATAAGGCTGAAATGGGAACCAGTGTTATTTTATTCTAACGGTATTGTTGCAATTTATAACGAGGCAGCCTACTAAATGAAGTGAGATTAACTAGCAATGGATAGTTCAGCACTTAACATGCGTTAGAAGATATGCTAACCATAAACATAGCTAAAATTCAAGATATTTCTTACTACAATATCACCTTTTTTATCTACCAGCATACATACACAGTATGATATTAAGTTGCCCTACATGACGTTTAGTTATACATGATGGCTACCTTCATTATCCTAATAGAAGATGTGAACTATTATACACAACTTAATGTTCAATATACAGACTATGTATGATTCAAAAAAAACAACTTCAACTCTTCCTTTTTTGTATTCATGTTTCAACTTTCAGCTTACATTGACAGTGTATCAGTGGTGTACCTGGTATTGAGAAAAGCAAAAGAAGAAAAGAATGATCAGTGGAAGCAGTAACATACACAGCAACAGCAGCAAACAACCCAGCCGGTAGATGTTTAAAACCAATACAAACCCAGCAAGAAAATCCAATAATAACCAGTAGGAGGAAACAACAACAGATTTAAATCAAGCAGAAGACCAGTGAACTACCAGACCAACAGAAAACCCAAAACAACTCAGCTGAAATAGTGTTCAATCAAGTATTTGCAGCCCAGCAACATCAAAACAAATACAGGCTAACATAGAAGGAAACAGATGCAGAAAAGCAGTAGCTTCTGATTGTTATGGTCGAAAAAAACCAGCACACTCTTAACTCTTTATTACTCTGAAACAGACTATCCTCTAAAGGTTGGAAGACCTTTATTGTTTTTGCTTTTTTGTTCTCTCTCACTTAAAATTGTCCAGCCTCTAAACCTAACTGTCCAGCCTTAAAACCAATTTTTTCCTTTCCTTCCAGAATTAATCCTCTCTCCAAAATCCTCCCCTTCAAACAGTCCTCAATGAGCCTGTTTATAGGCCAGCAATGGCAAGCCCCTAGGCTGCCTCCCCACTCTGCCCATACCCCTTAAACTAATCAAAATGACCATGATATTCCTGACAGACTCCCCATACCGCATGCTTTTCTCCTTTTTTAATCAAAGTTATGGGTGTTTAACATATTTTAATCAACCTCCCCCATGCCATTTAATCTTGTTCCCCACTATTGCATTAGTTTAATCCTATTTCAGTACCCTATTGTCAGCCCAACTTAAACTAAACATTTCTGATCTTTTCAAACCCCCAAACTAACCCTGTTAAACCCCGATTATTATTGTATTACCCTACTGCAGCAGTAGGACATTTTGAACTTCTGAAAGTTCAAATTCAAAGCTGCCCTAAACTGAGTTCTAGTTATTGCATTACAGTTACAAACCATTCACAGATAATGTCAAATAATCCGATAAACGACAATGATTTGATCCATCATATGAAGCTATACGAATCAGAATATTTGAACATTTAGTCCTATAAAACTAGTCGACGACATTTATCTAATCGACTATACTAATTATAACATCGAACAAACAGTCGATCAAACAAACAACACAAATAGGGCATCAACTGTCTTTGACAATTTTGCACGACACAGGGAAACTACAGGCATTATCGATTCGACGATATTAATCAAATTGAAATATGTATATCACTATACGTATTCAA